CCTACCTCCCAGGTAGCTGGGACTACAGAGTGTATCACAACCCCCAGCTTGTTTTAGAGATAGGGTCTCTTGCTAACTTTGCCTGGACTGGCCTGGAACCATACTCCTCCTGTCTCCTCCTCTTGCAAAGTATTGAATTGCGTACTTTAAATAGGTGAACTGCATCATACATGCATTATGTCTCAATAAAGCTCTTCACCATCAAAACAATAAGTTAAGGGGGCAGGGGGAGAAATGACCCAAGCCTTGTATGTACAAATGAATAATAATAATAAAAAGAACAAAAACAATAAGTTAAAAGGAAAAAGCTTGCTAGATGCTGGTGGCTCACACCTGTCATCCCAGCTACTCAGGAAGCAGAGATCAGGAGGACTGTGGTTCGAAGCCAGCCTGGGGAAATAGTTCACGAGACCGTATTTCAAAAAAACCCTTCACAAAAAACGGCTGGTGGAGTGGCTCTGAGTTCAAAGCCCAGGACTACAAAAGAAAAAAGCTTGAGGCCAGGCAGTGGGTCACCTCTGCTCTGGGGTATCGTTGGCCCACCTGCCACCTTGGGGAGCCACCCCACACTTGTGGGTCCCCAGGCCACAGTGTTATTGCGGAGCTGAGCCCACCCCAAGACCAACAGGCATGCTGGGCTCCTCTCTGTGTCCAGCAGCCCTTACTGTCCTTGGGCACAGGCAGGTTCAAGCCCCCACAGTGTTCCTGGGACATGTGGCACTACAGAGCCCCCAGCAGGGAGCAGCCAGGAGCTCCCCTCAGAGAGGGCTCTCTTTACAAAGCCATCTTCTCACCTAGTGCGGGGAGAGCACCATAGCCTCAGGAGTGATGTTCCCTGGGGAAGAGAAAGTGGCATTACACAGCCCAGGAGCATCTCTCAGGGTTTGTCACAGTCTCCAGGCTGGCCACACCCCAAACGCTGTGTGGCCTGGGCAAGGTGCCTCCTTGGACTCCATTTGCTCCCCCGCACCTGGGGAGGGCGCCTGGCTGGTCCCCCTGAGGCAACATCTACCAGGCAGAGAACAGTCCCTTTGTGGGGTATCACCCCTGTAGGGCTGTGGCTCATCACTTTGCTGAAGGGTATGGAGCTCAGGCTCTGCTAGTCTGCTGGAGGACCAGGGGCCACGTGGCCCAAACTGAGGCTGATGGATGGAGGTTCCAGTCATTTTGCCTTATCTCCCAGCTGTGCAACCTTGGGCCAGTCAGTTAACCTCTCTGAGCTTCTATCTGCCATCTATAAGGCAGGACTGAGCAGGACTGCTCCTAGGTTTTCGGGGACTCACTGGCCCCAGGCCAGTACCCAGCAGGCTGGGTCTCTCTCTTGCTGCTCTCAGGGAGTGGGGCTAACTACAGTGAGCTTGGAGCCTAGAGCCAGCACCACATCTGACAGTCCCTGGCTGGCTGGGACACTGCAGGACACTGTCCCTGTCCTTTTGTCCCCAGCTTCCTCTCCAGGTGAAGGGGCTGGAGGCCTAAGTTCAGGTACCAGAGAGGACTGGTTGTGTCTGGGGGCGGGGGGCAGGGGGGCAGGGCAGAGGTCTTGGAACGGTGATAAGAGGGCTTGGGCCAGGCCTGGGGGTGTCGAGGCCCAGGACTGGAAGAGACCAATTAGTCAAATGGTTGCAGTTGACCATTTGGAAACAATTAACAGGATCGCTATTACCACAACACGCGCCCCCCCCACCTGGTTCCGTGTGGGAGGGGAGGGTGGAGGCTGGCGCATGGACCCAGCTCAGCTCCGCACAGCTAGGCCAGCAGGACGGTGTGTGAGACTCCAGGCCCCGCTGGGCACATGTGCAGGACCCCGGGCCTCCCTCAGCAGGGCCTCTGACACCTGGCAGAAGGGTGTATTCACAGTCAACCAGGCCCAAGGCGGGGACTCGGGGGGCTGCCTGGGCTGGAAAGGTGGGTGGGTTAAGGGGAGGAGGAAGGCTCCATCAGGCATGTGAGCAAAGTCCCATGGGGACTGTGGGAAGTGGCTGGAGTGCAGGCAGGGGCGGGTGGGGGTCCAGCTACCACTGGCCTCCGGCATGGGGGTGGGGGTTCTGCAGACTTCCAACTTGAGGATGGAGGGTGGGTGGAAGGACCAGTGGGAAGTTCCTGGGGGGGGTCCAAGGACCCTGCGCCCTGAAGTATTGCTGCCTTAGAAGATCAGGCCGAGCCTCAAGCTGGGGAAATGGGCCCCTGAGCTTGCTGTGCCAGTACAATTGTGACCACTGGCCTCCACTCTCCAAGGCCCCAGGGCTCCCATGATAGCTGTGGTCCCCTGTGGCAGGGCGTGGTGTACTCTCTGCCAATCTTCTGGTTGGTGGTGGCAGTGTTGAGAAACTTGGCAGGGATCATTCCACTGAGTGTCCAGTGTTAAATTTGAAACACCATATACACGGGAAACTGGTGTCTCAAGGGGACAGACTTGCAAGGCCAAGGCCACATGGGAAGGAAAGGACCAGAGCATTTGCTCCTTCATTCACTTAAGGAGGATGTCCCCAGCAGCTACAGTGCATCCAGCTCTTCAGGAGTGAGGGTACAAGTGGACACAGCCAGTGGGACCTCGTGCCTTCTGGATATTCCCTCCTATGGGTGCTCACTCCTATGCGGGGGAACCACCTCCAGCCCCGCTCTCCAGTAGCAGCCTCATCCCACCCAAGTTCTAGGAGCCAGGCAGACCAGGTAGTAGACAGACACTGACCCACAGTGGACAGAGCTGCAGATGAGCCCTAGGGGCCTCCCTGGGAAATTGAGGGGTGGTGGGCAGGAGTGGAGCAGCCCAGTTTGCCTTGATTGGCTTTTCCTGGCTCCTCCCAGTCTCCTGGGTCACCAGTAAAGGAGGACACTGGGCCTGTGTAGGAAGCCCTGTTTTCCGTGGCACCAGCAGACCCTTGCTGTCTGTCACTTTCCCCTGAAATTTTATTCTGTCTCTCCTCTCTCTTTCCCCTTCTCAGTACCCTGAAGCAGAGCTAGAGGTGTTTAGGGGATGATCAGCACATTCCAGCTCATATGTGCACAGAGCAGCCATTGTACAAGTTTCCTTCCCGGAGTGTCCCTAGGGTTGTGTTCTGTCCCCTGTGGAATGGGTTCCATCACTAAGAACACGAGGCTCTAGCAACTCACAGTTGGTCTTTGGATGGGTCTAGGGCTCTCACAAGCCCCCCTGGGGCAGCAGTTGCATGGCCTTGACCAGGACTGAGGAGCTGGGGGGCAGCAGGGGGCGCTCAACTCCAGGGGACACTGAATAAGCTAGAGTGGGTTCCACTTGAGGAGGACTGCTATCCTACCTGTTAGGTACTGGGGCTGGACATGTCCCCAAGCATGCTGGTCTCTGGACCTCTGTGGCCCCACACACTTGCCAGGACCTCAAATCCTCAGCCACAAACAAGTGCTGGGACTGCCAGCCTACCTGTCTCATTCCAGAGCCTCTGGTCAACTTGGAACCAAGACTGTGGGGAGACCTGGCAGGGCGCCCCCATGTAGCCGGCAAGCCCCCTCCGTGGAGCCTGTTTGTCTATATCCTGCGGCTGCTGGAGACACAGAGACCAGGGAGCAAGAAGAGGAGTGGAATGTGCTCTTTTCCAACACCACCTGAAACCCCACTTCCCTGAGGTCCCCAGAGAACAGGACACTGTAAAATGTACTCCAAGCCCACAAGTCCAGTGTGCCACCCTCTGTCCTCTGCTGCTGCCAGCGCTCCATGCGGGGACACTGCCCCGCCTTTGTGCGCCTCTGCGCTCATCTCTCTCCCTGCCTTTTCTCTCTGTCGCTGCCCCTTTCCCTGACTCTTGTGTCCCTCCTCCCACCTCTGACGTCCCCTCTCAGCCCCGCCGTGGGGAGCGGACCCTCGGAGGCGTACCCGACGTGTACCAGCCTCGCCAGTGTCTCAGGTCTGCGCGGTCGGGGACAACGAGCCAGAGCACCTGGGGCGGGGCCGCCACACCCTTCGGGCGACTGAGGACAGCCTCGCGGCTCCTGCGGGAAGCGCCGGGCACGGCTTCCCCGGGGTCCCCCACGCGCGCCAGCGTCCGCACCCGCACCTTCCCCTCTGCGGCCCCCTTCATTATGCGCCGCCTCTAATGGGCGTTTGTCAGCGCGAATTTCCCGCAAGTTGTTTTCGCGGACATCAGTCACCGGCGGTCCCATTGTGCAGGGGGATTGATGGGGGGCGGGAGGGGGTGACAGGGCCCGGGGCGGCCGCCTCGAGGCCTCGGTCTATAATTTTCCGAGGCATAATTGGTCTGGGGGCGGGAGCGGGGGAGGGGCGGCGAGGGACCTTTCAGAGCCGCAGGGCGCGGGGGCGCGGGGCGCGCGGCCGACCGGAGCCGCGGCTCGACGGCGCTGCGCTGGGGCCGAGGTGCGCGGGCGGCTCCCGGCCTGAGCCCCGCGCCCGCGCCCGCGCCCGCGCCCCGCCGGGGACCACGTCGGCCTTTTGTTGCAGAATGTCCTTTCTTTCAGCGCTTTGCGTAGCAACGGAAATTTCACCGCTCCCGGGTGAAAATTAAAGCCTCTCTCCCTCTGTCTGTCGCATCTCTCTCTCTCTCTCTCTCTCCTCTCACGCCTCTCTCTGTCTCATCTCTCTCTGTCTCATCTCTCTGTCTCCTCTCATTTTCTCTCTCTCTCCCTCCCATCTCTGCATCTCCTCACTCTCCTCTCTGTCTCATCTCTCTCTCTCTTCTCTCTCTCTCTCTCTGACTTCTCTCACGCCTCTCTCGGTCTCATCTCTCTCTGTCTCCTCTCACTTTCTCCCTCTCCCATCTCTGCGTCTTCTCTCCTCTCACTCTCTTCTTCTCTGTCTCATCTCTCTTTCTCTTCTCTCTCTCTCTCTCTCTCTCTCTCGCTCTCTCTCGCTCTCTCTCTCTCTCTCTCTCCCCTCTCCCCCTCCCTCACTCCCTCCCTCTCCCTCCCTCTCTCTCCTCTCTTTCTCATTCTCTCTCTCCTCTCCTCCCTCCTTTTCCTTCCTCTCTCTGGAGCGGGAGCCGGTGCCCAGCCCTCTCCGCGGCGGTGCGCCGCGCCTTCCATGGGCACCGCGCTGGCCCGCAGCCGCCGCCGCGTGGCGGGCGCGATGCCAGGATGGGCCTGATTTGGCTCCTGCTGCTCAGCCTGCTGGAGCCCGGCTGGCCCGCTGCGGACCCCAGGGCGCGGCTGCGGCGCGATGCGGGCGGCCGAGGCGGCGTCTACGAGCACCTCGGCGGGGCGCCCCGGCGCCGCAAGCTCTACTGTGCCACCAAGTACCACCTCCAGCTTCACCCGAGCGGCCGCGTCAACGGCAGCTTGGAGAACAGCGCCTACAGTGAGTGTCCCGCGCCGCGCGGCTCCGCGGGGGAAAGCGGGTCCGGGCCCGGCAGAAGGGACGGCGCGCAGAGGGTGCCAGAGGGCGACCGCCGGGATCCGCTCGTCTTGTCGCCACGTCCGGGATACGAGGGCGCGCTGGGGTCGGAGGAGAGCTGGGCGTGGGGGGCCTCGATCCGAAGAGGGCGCCACAGCCGCAGCCCGCGAGCGCTGGCACGGTCTGCCCCCGCCTGGCCCGCTCCTCCGAAGGGGCGCGCAGTAGGCGACCCCGACTGACTGCGTTTGGCAGTTCTGACAAGTTTAAGTCCTTTGAATTTGTCGGAGAAAAGGGGCTGGGCAAGGCATTTATCATCCTCTTTCTTATTTTGACGACTTCTCCACCTCCTGCCGACCCCGGGGCACCGCTGTCCCCTCTGCCCTCCCGGCTCTCGGCCTCCCAGGTGGCTGCCCATACTCGGAGGACAGTCCCCTTGGCAGAGCTAGGTTCCCCAGACGTGGCTGCCACAGACTTTTTCCCTTGACTGGAATCTGAACCCCTCCACCTCTGCCTTGCCCCCCACCCCAAAGAGCGGGACAGGATGGGATGGGTGGGTGCCCCAAAAGGGTAGCCCCCACCCTGTGGCCGGTAGTAGCAGGGGTGTGCAGGTCAGGAGCACCTAGAGGCGTCCTCTCATTCTGGGGGATGTAGACATACTTGCTGCCCCAGTCCAGGATCTGGCACTGGACTGCACACACCGCAGGAGCCCAGTGGGGTCCAGGGTTTGGCTCTTGTGTCTCCTACGCCAAGTCCTCCTTTACAGAGGGCATGGGGGGAAAGGAGCTGAGCTCCAGGCAAAAGGACAGCTCCAGGGATGTGGGAGTGTGGCCGGGACCACGGGAGGTCCTCCATTACGCCTGGAAGCGCTGGGTTTTGCCGCACAGGAAGCGTGAGGCAGGTTCAAGGCAGCCGTGGGAAACCACAGCTTCCTCAGAAAAGCCGCAGTCCTGTGAGGGCGAGTTTGGGGGACGCCTCTGCAGCGCACAGTGGAGACCAGTTGTCTTTACAAGACTTCTCTCTAGAGACACTCCACCTCCCTTCTGTCCACTTCCAGGCTTCCCTGGGGGTCCTAGAACATCCAGACTTCCTGGTGCTACTGGGGGAGGTCCCCAAGGTGTGTGTGGGGGGTGCACTTTCACCGAGGCCTCTGTCAGTCATCCAGACTGGTGCTTTGGCTCCTGCCAGCCTGTGTACCCCAACTCTAAAGACCGGGAGGCTGCAACCCCCGGCTCTGGGGCAATGTCTTGGCTGATCCTGGTGATCTGGACCATGCTGGGGGTGACAGATGTAGGCTCCCAACAGGTGCCCCCTAGAGAGGATGTGGACAATAGACCCAGTCACCTGGGAAGCTGCTGTTGGGGGACAATGGTCCCACCCAGAAAATTTGTTGCAAACCCTCCTCCAGGACAAATAGCTTGAGGGTCCAGGAGGAACGGCTTTTGAGAACATTTAACTTTTGTGCAAACACTGAGGAGTGAGTAAGTCCTGGCCAGATTCCTGCTGTGAGCTCGACATACTCAGATCCTGCCAGATGGATTTGGGGCAAATCAGCTTCCTGGTCTACCAGGAAACCAGAATACAGAGCAGTGCGGGGCTCAAATGAGCCTCAGTGCCCAGCAGAGGTGTCACACAGAAGTGTTAGGTGTATTGTCACCCTGCCAGATTTGCTCTGGGGAGCAGCTGATGTTTGCTTGCTTCTCCACCACGTCCAGTGTTTTCTCCCTCCCTGTACTTCCAGCTTCCCTCTGCCCCCCTACTTACTGGACTCAGTGCCCTCACGGTCCTGAGCCTCAGAGAGGTTAAGCCAGGCTGTGGTGCGCCGCGCTCAGCTCTGAGGATCTGTGGAGGTGGGGGGAGTGACGAGCCTTCCCAATTCCTCCTAGGCATTCTGGAGATTACGGCCGTGGAGGTGGGCGTCGTGGCCATCAAGGGGCTCTTCTCTGGGCGGTACCTGGCCATGAACAAGAGGGGACGGCTCTATGCTTCGGTGAGTCCAGTCTCTTGGGGCTTGGGCACTAATGGACTAGCCATCTCCCTTGAACAGGGGACGGACGGTACGGGGGCCATGGGTGGTAGAATGCTTTGGTCAGAGGGTTGCAGGATCCAAGCTGCACCAGAGCCCTAGGCTCATAAGTCCATGGCCAGAGCTTTTAGAAGCAGGGGACAACCATAGCGTGAGTGACTTGAAACATGGCCCTCGGGTGGAGCTGGGCACATCCCGTGTTCTGCAGTGCCGTGGGGTTCCCTCAGACCTTGTCATCAACCACCATCGCCCTTCTCTGAAGGTAGCTGAGAGCTCCCTAAATTTCCGGGAAATAAACATATCCAAGTGAACTTGTGAGTAAAGCAAGGAGGGGTCATTTCAAAAACTCTTCTGTTGGGTGGGACAGAGCTCACCTCTTGGGCGTGAGAAAGGGGGAAACTGGGTAGTTGCCTGGATCTCCCCAGGGTGGAAAGGCAGGAGCTGTCCCAGACACAGTGGCCCTTAGCCCAAGCTTAGAACCCAGTCATCTATCTATCACCTGGGGTTCCGGGTGACCCAAAAGGATTCGGTGATCCGTGGGCATCGGCAGTGCTTGGGGAATACACAGGGTAGCATGTGTGACTAGGAAATGCTGCCTCCTGTTGGCTGCCACCTGTCCTCAGCTGATAAGTCCTTGGGCAAGAAGGGGTTTCCACCCTCATGTAACCCGGCATGGACTGGCTCCCTGCCGTTTATCACCTCTTCTGTTGCACTTTACCTGCTGCAGGGGAACATCCCAAATTTCTCTGCCCCCTCTAAGTCTAGAGAGCCCCTCTTTAAGCTGGTTATTTTGCCCTGGATTTTCAGCTGTTTTGCTGAAGGAAGTGCAAGAGTTGGGGTGAACCTACGTATTTTCCCATCTCCAGAAGCCACTTGCTAGAAGCTTATGTGGAAGCCCAAGGGGCTGGCTCTTCTGTAGGTCTTTCCAGTGCCTCTGCACTCCCATCGTGGTCAGGAGACTGTGCCCTTTGCCCGGGCTGGGTCAGACTTTCTCTTGAGGTAGGCTGGGGCTTTTCTCACCCCTGTTTCCTGGCCCCTGGTGTGAGTGAGGGGAGCTAACTTTGTATCCTGAAATTGACCACCTCAGTGAGGAGGGCTTTAGTGATGGTTCAGCTGTTGCTGATGACAAAGGAGACCTCCTGTCCCCACTGGGGACCTTGGTGGGAGAGAAGGGAGGGTCAACTCAGGAGGGCAAGCAAGGCCTCCACCATCTTTTCTGATCTGGGGGACCCCAGGAGGCCAGAGATCACCTAGGGCTTCTGTCCTAAGAGTAGATAGCCCTTGACTTTGGGGGATAAAGGGGTGAGGCACCCAGCCCCACTGGGGGACAATGGACTAGGGATGGCCAGGCAACCCAGCTGCATGGTGTAAAAATTTCCAGAACACTCAGCAGAGGTCTTACTGCCCTGTGGACAACCTGGGAGGTGAAGTAGCCACAGTGCCAGCTGCCTCTCCTTCAAGGTGCCGGCTTGCTGAGAGCTGCTCCTGCTGCCCTGTCCCCAGCCTCCTGGTGCCTTGTTGTCAGTTTGCTTCTCCCCTCTCACGGGCCAGCCTGCCCACTTCTGTGGGTCATTGACTTTTGTGCCCTGAGAACTCCAGGGCCAGGACTGGACTCCCTTCCGAGCTCCCCAGAAGACCTGAAGTCTCCAAGACCACCGGCGGAGCCCAGCACACCCCACCTAAATCAGTGGGCCCCCAACTCTCCCACCTCAACATGGCCCCAGCAGTTACTCCAGCCCAGGCCAGGTGGGAGCAATGGTGGACCCTCCCTCACTCTTAGCCCCACACTTAGTCCATCTCCAAGTCCCCGGGCTGTACTTCCTGAGTTGCTCCTAATTCACACATTGTATCTCCCTCTACCTTAGCCCAGAGGCCAGCACCACAGCACAGGCCTTGTCCCTTCCCACCTGGGTCATTGCAGAAGCTTTGATGCTGGCCTGCAGCCTCTCTGTCCTCCAGTCCATCCTCCCAGCCAGCCATCTACCCGTTCGCCTGCATTCATTCATCTGCCCAGCCATCCATCATCGATCCATTCATCCATCCATTGTATATCCATCAACTCCCAGCCATCCACTCACATACGTGCATCCATCCATCTACTCATTCACCTGTCCACCCATCCATCCATCCATGCACCCACATCATGCATGCTCCCATCAGCTCATCCATGTATCCACCCATCCATCCGTTCTCCATCCACTACCATCCATCCATCAACTCACACATCCTTCCGTCCATGCATACCCTTCCTTCCTTCTTGCCTTCCTTCTCTCCCTCTCTCCTCCTTTCCCTATCTCCTCCCTCCTTTCCTTCCTTCCCTCTTCTCTCCCTCCTTTCCTTCCTTCCTTCCTTCCTTCTTCCCTCCCTTCCTTCCTTCCTTCTCTCTTCCCTCCCTTCCTTCCTTCCCTCCCTCCTTCTTTCCTTCCTTCTCTTTTCCCTCCCTTCCTTCCTTCTCTTTTCCCTCCCTTCCTTCCTTCCATCTGGCTTCCTTTCTCCTTACCTCCTTCCTTCCCTCCCTCCCTCCCTTCCCCTTTCCTTCTCTCCTCCCTCCCTTCCTTCTTCCCTCCTTCCTTCAGCTGGCATTCATTCCTTCATTCATCAGTGTCCTGGGCACTCACCATGCTAGGTTCCCGCTGAGAGATCTTCCTACAAAGTAAATCTGCTCGTGTCAGGTCCACAGGAGTCCCATGACACCGACAGACACAGAGCTCTATCCACAGAGGAGCAGCCCAGGTGACTCCCCCCACCCACATAGTTCTGTAACCCATGTCCCCACTCCTACCTGTAGCCATCTCTCCAGCTGCACTGCTCTTGCCTGGAACATGCCTCTTCTCAAAATACCCATCCCTCCCTACAACTCTCCAAGTGTCATCTTACGCAGGTGTCCCTGAGTCCCGTTCTTGCAGTAGAAGAGACTGTGGCTATGAAACAGATGGTGGGGGAGGGGTACAGCAGGGTCAGGACTGTCACGAGGGGAGCCCCAACCACAGGTGCCCTGGAGTCAGATCTGTCCCTGAGCTGACTCCATCCTCCTGCTCACTGTGGCTACCCAGGTGTCCCCCAAGACGCAAGCGACTGCTTTGTACTTCCCACCCCAGAACTGCCTCCTCAGGAGACCTTACCCCTGCCCTCTGAGACTCAAAGCCTGTGTTCTTCAATCACTCCTCCCCCCAACAAGTGACCTGCAAAGAAACCCGTGTCTGCCTTCCCCAGCCCTGGGAGGGCACATGTCCTCTAGGACTGAGGAAAAAGGGGTCTGCTGAAGTTTGTCACTGTCCAGTCTACACAGCACAGGGTGGGGTCCATATGTCTACCTGACTCCACCCCATCCCCAGACAGCCCCATGCAGAAGTCAGGCAGAGGTCAGAATGGGGTCATATCCCTCCAGGATTTGGGACCCAACACCATCCCTGGACCTCAGTTTCCCTATCTATAAATTGTCAAGGTTGGTCTTGAGCAGTGACCTCCACACTGTGACCCAAGAGCCTGGGGCATCCAACAGGGGCAGGAAAGCAGAGAGGGCTGGGGTGACAGCCCAGGCAGTCCCTTTGCCCCTGTCTCTAGGGACCTCCGTGTCACTGGAAATGGATTTGGGCTTAGAGTGGCTGGCTCCTGAGGTCATGCCAGGTCAGCTGCTGCCCACCTCGTGGACCTGGGTCCCACTGTGACATCCCCCTTTCTAAAAATAAGCATGTGTCTTTTGGGCCACTTCTGCTCAGGAGCTGAGCCTCCCTCCCTCCCACGAGGGTCTCCCACTCCTGCCCTGTGGCCAGTCCCTGGGGAAAGGAGAACCCTCCTGCCAGCCCAGGAAGCTGTTGGTGGTCCCCTGGGGGTGGTGGCCTCGGGCACTCCCACCCCCTTGGCTAGGACCACAGCTTCATGTGTTTGAAACTCCACAGAGGGAGACCCCACAAGGTAACTCTGGTGGCTGGACCTAGGGGATGCTGGTGAAGCTTTTGAAGTTTGTGCCTTTGGGGGGAGCAGGGACCCCTGTCATTCCCCTGTGGGCCCCAGACCTGGCACGGGCCCCTCTGGTGACAAAGTAGGTTTCCCACCGTATCCCTGGCTCATGTTAGCTTCTGGCCTCTGCACTCAGAAGAGGCAGCAAGCATGTCCCTCCCTCCTGCCAGGTTCAGGGTCCCGTGTGTGCGTGTAACCTCCCTTACCCTGTGGAGAGCCTGGGCCAGGTCAGTGACCCTCAGAATGCAAGGGACCCAAACTCAGCATTAATGGAGAAGCCAGGGTCATAAAACCCCAGCTATGTCCCCTTCTTCTCCTCTTTCCACTCTTCTTTCTCCTCCCCCTCCCTCTGCCTGTCTTCCTCCTCTTTCTCCTCTCTCCCTTCGTGTCCCCCTCTTCTTCTCTCTTCCCCCTTCTTCTCCCCTTTTGCCTCGTCTTTCTCTTTTTGAGACTGGGTCTCACTTTTTTGTCTAGGCTAGTCTTGAACTCCTGATCCTCACCCCCTTACAACCTCCCAAGTGCTGGGATTACAGGTGTGCACCACTGTGCCCAGCTCTTCTTTTTTCTCTTTTGCAATTTCTTCAAAAGAGATCTGGGCTGCCACTGCCCTTTTCTGTGCAAATGCACACAGTTCCTGGCTTCCATCCATGTAGCCACTGAGTGCCAGGAAAGCCCTGCCTCTACTCCACAGACAACCCCACTTGTCCCTGTGCTGGGACACAGAGGCTGGGGACCCAGAGGGGAGAGGCAAGGGGAGGCTGTATCTCCTATAAGAATCAGGGAACCTGCTGACTTGAGTCATGAAAGCCAAGTTCACCAAGCATGGGTAAGGGGTGCTGAGTGGAGAACACAGCCTTGGCAAGGGAGGGGAACACGGGAATCAGGCAGATGTGGACAGCTGGGCCCAGCAGCCTCAGAGGGGAGAGGGAGGCTTTGGGAAGGTGCGGTCCCTTCCATCCTGGCCCTGCCACCAGCATGGCCTCCCGTGGCCACTGACAATAGCCTCTCGCCCCCAGGAGCAATACAACGCCGAGTGTGAATTTGTGGAGCGGATCCATGAGCTGGGTTACAACACATACGCCTCCCGCCTGTACCGCACGGCGCCCGGCGGGCCGGGGACCCTGCGACAATCCAGCGCCGAGAGACTGTGGTACGTGTCCGTGAACGGCAAGGGCCGGCCACGCCGGGGCTTCAAGACCCGCCGCACACAGAAGTCCTCCCTCTTCCTGCCCCGGGTGCTGGATCCCAAGGACCACGAGATGGTGCGGCTGCTCCAGGACAGCCAGCCCCGGGCCCTGGGCAGAGGTGGCCAGCCCCGGTGGCGGCGGCAGAAGCAGAGTGGGGGACTAGCCGGGACTTGAGCGGCCACCTTCAGGACTCTTGCTACCGAGGTCACCGTGTGGCAGGCGTTCACGACAGACTCTTCCCTGTTCCTTGCCTCTGGACTGGCAGCTTTTGGGGGCCCAATGGAACCCCATCTCCCTTCCCCTGCCCTGACACCAGCTTGGAGAGGAGCCGAGGGGCCTGAGTGGGGCCTCCAGGGAGGGAGGGCGACTGAAACTAAGGTGCTGGGATGGGCCTCTGAACCTTAGGGAAGACTGACCCCCTGAGGTGCCAGCCCAGCTGCCTGCCCCGTTGGACACCCGGGGCTTTGTGTAACTGAAACATTAAAGTATTTTATTCTACTTTGCTGAGGACATCTCACAGCTCCAACGGGGACCTACTCACACAGGTGACAGCAGACTGGATGACACCGGAACTGGCTAAAGATGCACTTTATGGTCCCTGGCCTCTGAATGTTACTAGGTTTTTGTGGCTGGGCCTGGTGATGGCACATGCCCTTGGAAGGCTGAGGCAGGAGGATGGAGAGTTCAAGACCAGCCCGGACTATGTTGTGAGGCCCTGTCTGAACAAACAAACAGCAAAAAACCCCAAATTATTGGGTTTTGAAACAAACATGGATGTATGGTTTGGGTGGAAAGAAGAGGCCAGTGCATGCATGTGTGTGCATGTGTGCAAACATTTGTGCGGGAAGGCTTGTGTGTTCCTAAAAAAGATGTGTGTGTGTGGCGTGTGCTCCCATGTCTGAGTGTGCATGTGTGTGCATGCATGAATGTGTGTGAGTACATGTGTGTATGTGTGTGTGTGTGTGTACATGTAGACAGACACAGGGAGGAAAACACATTTACTTTGCCCTAGGATTCCAAGACACTCCTCAGTCTGGAAGTTGCAAGTCTCTTGGGGACAGTGTCAGGCACACAGGCCCTCCCTTCCTTCGTCCTAGTGACCTGCCTCCAGGGCCCCGGACACTCCTGCCTGCCTCACAGAGAGAGGCTTAGAGAGCCAATGTGCTTTGCTGGGGGAGATGGTGATGGCTGAGCTCCATCCTGGCTCAGGTGCCTCCCACACCTGCTCCCCAGCAGGTCACCTGGCCTGCCCAAGTGATAGAAAAAGGGCACTTTGCAAGGCGGGCAGGTACTCAGATAAGGAGGGGCCTGGGTCCCCAGAGGATGGCCATCCCCTTTCAGCTGCCCCAGTCAGGGTGAGAGCCCAGCACAGCCAACCCCGGGAGAAGGTGGGCAGCACTGCAGGATGTGGTGTGATGAACTCCCCGTGGAGATCTGTGGAGCCCAAAGGTCACACGCTGCTCCTGCTCCCTCAGCCAGAGAGTCCGGACTGTCCGCTGAGGACATGACTTGTGGTCATGGGTAGCAGCCTGTGTTCCCCTATACACAGAAGGGGACAGATGTGGTTGGTTCTCCCAAAAAGCAAAGGGGCTGGACGAGAAGCCCCACACCTGTGCCTGCCCACCTGCTCTGCCAGGAGGCTGGGGCAGTGGCCCTGGAGCCGGTACCTGAGCTCCATGAGACAACGCTGGGAGAGGCCATCAGGAGGTCCCAGGAATCACCGGCTGGCATCCTTGCCTTCTCCAGCCAGGAGTGGAAAGAGGAGAAGGGAGAGAAGCCAAAGGGATGGAGCAGGGTCTCTGGCCATGACGAGTCTCAGGGAATTTGGATCACACCTGTAATCCTAGCTATGTGGGAGACTGAGGTTCGAGGCCAGCCCGGGCAGATAGTTCCCAAGACCTGATTCCCACAATAACCCAAGCAAAATGGACTGGAGGTGTGACTCAAGTAGGAGAGCACCTGCTTTGCAAATGCAAAGCCCTAGGTTCAAGCTCCAGTCCCACAAAAAAAAAAATATATATATATATATTAAAACAGAAGTTTAAATTCCCACACACATTCCACATCAGTCAGTCCTGCATTTTCACCAGTTGTGTTTAAGTCCCTGTATGATCTGCTGAGTGTTTCCCTGCCCTCAACTTTGTGAAAATCTGCCTCCAAAAAGTAAATGGTACCCAAAAAGCAAGGTGACAGTGAGTGTGTTTAGTTTAAGTGATAAAGTGAAATTTGAGACTTGTCGAAAGGCGGCATGTCTTTAGAGAAGTTGGGCAGTGCTACGGGAAAGGTGGATCAAGCGTGCGCAGTACAGCACCGAGCTCTGCACAGGTTTCCTCCGTGGTGTGCTCCTTGGAACCACAGACTCATGGATACCCTCGTCTTTCCTTCCTTCCTTCCATCCATCCACCACCCACCGCCTCCCACCCATCCATCCATCAACCGCCTGCCTATCACCCACCATCCATCCCTTCTTCCTCCCATCCACCCCTCCCCAATCCATCCATCCATTTTCCTCCCATCCATCCATCCATCCATCCATCATTTCACCCATTCATCCTTCCAGCGAGTCATCCGTCACCTATCCACTCATCCATCCACTTATCCATCCATCCGTCCAGGCCCTCTTTGGTCAGGATGGACACAGGTGAGACCACCTGCCCTTGTCCACCAGAAGCCTGCAGTTTCATGAAGGACAGAGGCTGAGCTCTAAAAGTCTAGGTTGGGAGCAGAACCCCCAAGAAATTTAAGGAATGCTGGGGGCCCTGTTAGGACCACGAGGTTAGGGCCAGTCAGGCCCCTGCTCTCAGTGGCCACCCCCCCCCCCCGACAATGCCCTCAGGCAGCTCCGAGGTGTGTGGAGTCCTGACTGAAGGGCCAGAGGCCGGGTGGGGCAGCTGGCGGAAGAAGAACTGGCTTCATGGGAGGTGTGCAGAATCTCGGCCTGGGAGTCAGGCTGGCCTGGCCAGCTCGGTGCCAGACTCGTGGGACTTGAGGCCAGGTCAGGGCTCTGCCCTCAACCAGCCTCGGTTTCCACCACCGTCAAACTGGACACCTGCTTCCCAAGGCTGCGGACACTTTAATGCTGCACTGATGCGGTCAGGAGCGGGGGCCGTGGGGCACATCCTCGTGGTTACCGTAGTGTGGCCTCGCAAGTCTGGCTCAGGAGAGCTGAGGTGACAGAGACTGGTAGCCACCTTCTGGTGCACTGACACAGGGCCACCTGTTCTGTGTGTCGTCCTCAGGGTCCTCTCATGACCGGGACGGATGCTGCTTGCTCCACCTGACTGTCCAGGAACCTGCCACCCACTGGACAGGAGTCCTGGCAGCCTGCTGCCTCCAGAACCTGTGCCCGTGTGAGCCTCGCCCTGGGCCCCAACGGGCCCCAGACACAGTCAGGGGGTGCTGCTGGCTGAGTAGGGGAAGGGGAAGGTGTTGTCGCCTGACTGTTTGTTTCTTAGGACTGGGTTCCTTTTTCTTCAGAGGTTGTTCCTCTCCTATCTCTTTCTTCCATGAGCCCTCAGGGTGCAAGAACAAGTCTATTTGAAAGTTCTTATCTCAGGAGGGCAGGACCAGCTCCATCAGGTCGCACGCCTAGTGTCTTTCGAGAGCTCGTGGGTCTAGCCCCTCCCTTGCCTCCACAGCCCTCGCTCACTCAACACTCCAGCCACGTGGTTCTGTCCTTGCCACAGGACCTTTGCACGATCTGCCTGCTAGAATAATCTTCCCTCTACCTCTCAATGGTTGGCCCTTCCCAATTTTCACTTCTGAGACTGTCACCTCCTCAAAGAGACTTTCTGTGACCACTCGAACCAAAGTTGGCCCCCTCTCATTTTTTTTCTCATTGTGCCTTGTTATTTTCCTCTGCAGAACCCAGCACAATCTGTAATTCCCTGCTAATTATACCATCATTACTGCCCCCACGGGTCACCCACCCAAGGGTGAGGCACCTGGGCTGCTCTTTTATCCCCAAGACCAGCTGTCTTTGGGTGAGGGCTGTTCCAGACACAGTTGCCCCCTGAAACTCTGGCCTGTTCCCCTCAGACAAAGAAACCAGGGGCTGTAGGGTCCATGCTGTTCCTGACCTTTTGCTGAGGCTCAGAGAGGTTAAGCTATTTTGTTGAGGTCACACAGCCAGGGAGGGGAGTGCTGGAGCTGGCTATAAGGTCTCTGGACTCCACTGCTTTGTCCTAAGGCCCCACATAGCACCCAAGGAAGGGAGCGGGAAGAGGCAGGACACAACCAGTCCTGCCTTGTGTGTGACTCAGCAATGGCCCTCCCAGGTGTCCACTGAGGAGACATGTCCTCACAGACACCTGTCCACAGACATTTCCAGCACCATTATTCACAACAGTACCCCAAGCGTCCGAGAAGTACAGTAAAACGTCACCTGGCAGTGGAGCGGTGTGACAGACCCCCGCCTGACGGCTCCTTCTGCACAGTGTCCAGCCTGGCAGTGCAGAGACAGAGGTGGCTGGTGCTGCCAGGGCTTGGCAGAGGCAGGGACAGGGACAGAGGTGAGTGGGTGTGGGTTCCTTTGCAGTGGTGACATGTTCTGGAAGAGACAGTAGCCTTGGTCACCCAACACGAGGGACACAAATCCATGTCAAGCCACACACGGAAACAGGTCAGTTGTATGGCTTGAGTTACATCTGGCAGCCACATCTGCATGTCTTTCTATCAGAGCTGGACTGGCCAGGGCCTCCCATCCTTTGGGGACTGCTAGGTGACCAGGACCGGGGCTGGCTTTTCCAGGTCAGCTGTGCATGCAGTACCATGGCCTACCAGCAGGGGGCAGCAGGCTCAGTGCTGTGCTCCAGGTGTGGCTCTGGCTGTGACCAGCGCTGGTGTCCCTGACTGATGGGCAGCGGGGACTCTGGCAGTGACGGCCACAGGGGCTGTGAAGCCACCTGATCGGGCAGGAGGAGTCAAGATGGGTGATGCCCAGCCCACCCAACAGCCCAAGGTGACACATGGTGTCAGGCCCTTCCCAGAAATAGGGCCCAGCGGGGAGAGGCAGTGGGACGAGCCTGGGGAGGGCATGCAGTAGGCGCCCACTTTTGTCACTGGCGGTGGAGGGGAGGAGGACGGTAGCAGAACCCCTCCCCCTCCAAGCAAGCAGAGACTGGGTTTACCTGCAAACTGGCCTGAGGGGTGGGGAGGATGACATGGGTGCTTCC